TAAGCAATGATTGTGTTCTCCTTTTTGATGAAATGTATTTACAGCAATCTTGTGAATACCACAGTGGTAGATTAAGTCAAGATACTGAGGGTAATCTTTACAAAGGAATAATTGTGTTCATGATTGTTGGTCTTCAAAAATCAATACCATATGTTATTAAAGCTATCCCAGAAATTAGTCCTACTGGAGATTTTATTAAAGATGAAATTGAAGAAAGTTTAATACATTAAGATCTGCTGGTTTTAACATTTGTGCATTGATTGCTGATAACCATCCAACTAATGTGTCAGCTTATTCAAAATTACTCAGCGTTTATGGTTTAGAGAAGCCAGAAAATTTTTGTATCACATTTAATGGTCATATAATTTATTTGATGTATAATAGTGTACATTTGCTCAAAAACTTAAGAAATAATTTGATTAGTACCAAAAAGTTTATTTTCCCATCATTTCAGTTCACTGATTACATTTTTAATATAAAAGTCTCTGCAGGTGATATATCTTGGGGATTGCTTCATAGAGTGCAAAAAAAAGATGAAACTCTATCAGCAAACTTAAGAAAGGCATCAAAACTAGGAGAAAAGACATTATATCCAGGTAACAATAAACAAGACATCAACCTAGCATTAAATATATTCCATGAAGCTACATCTGTAGCAATTCAAAGTTATTTTCCTAATGAATTTTCAGCATCAGAGTTTTTGAAGGATATAACTATGTCCTAACCTCTCGTTTCCAAAGTGATCTATTGGAGCGACATTTTTCAAAGTATCGTCAAATGAGTGGTGGCAGATTTCTTGTTGGATTACGTGAAGTAATAACTTCTGAAAATTTTTTGCAAATGAGATCATTATTAAAAGAAAATTTTGACTTTTGGAAAATGAATTTAAAAACTCTCAAGTCGGTTGTAAATATAAATTCGATTTCTGAACTTTTTATTAATGATATTCAGGAATGTGATTTAGATGATAACAGTAAAGAAGTTGCTATTTTTATTGCTGGATATATATGCAAAAAATTACTCAAAAAAGTTAAATGTGAATTATGTACTCTATTGCTAAAAAGTGATCTCATTGATTTAAATACAGAATACATTGAACTACTATCCAGAGGAGGTCTCATAACTCCCTCAAAATTGCTTGCAAATCATGTTATTATTTGCTTTGCTATGCTTGATGCAGTAAAAAAAAGTTTACTTACAATAGAAATTCTTGACATCAGAAAAGTTAGCGAATATATTTTATATGAATATAACTTGAACCACAGCTTTATTTGTGAGGATCATTTAAAGTGGGGGCTTTCTCTTGTTAATCAGACAGTAATAAATATTTTTTATAACAATGAACAAAAGATTTTAAGTAACGGAAAGTGCAAAGATGCTGTATTATCTTTTAAAAGGATATATATATAAATATTTGTTTATATATGTGAAATATATATAAATATTTGTTTATATATGTGAAATATATATAAATATTTGTTTATATATGTGAAATATATATAAATAAATATATATATATATATATATATATATATATATATATATATATATATATATATATATATATATATATATATATATATATATATATATATATATAGATAGATATAGATATATATATATTTATATATATATATATATATATATATATATATATATATATATATATATATATATATATATATATATATATATATATACAGGTATGTAGATATATAAATAAATATATTTTGTTTATGAAATCTTGATGAAACTTGCTATTAGTATTTTTTGATTTTTGCCTGAAATCTCTACGGTAAAAAAATGTGTATAAAAATAGTCATATTCCTAATTTTATATTTAAAATATTAAGTTAAAGTTAAAAATTATTACTACGAAAATCTAAAAAAAAAAATTTTATATTTAAAAATTAGGAATATGACTATTTTTATACACATAAAAATAAAAATTATATAGAAAAAATTATTTGAAGTGAACTACGAAAATCAAATAAACAAATTAAATAAAAAAACTACTAGATGTTAATAATAAAATCAACCTAAACGTTTTTAAATAAGGAAAAACTAATACGAAAAGATATTTTACTATATAAATCTATTTAATTTAAATAATTATAATATATTTATTAACTTAAATTAAAAAACCTAGCAATTTAATTATATTTAAACCTATTTAAACTTAAATCCTAAAAACTTGTAATATTGGAAAACTGGCCTTCTAATTTTCGGCCTATTTATGCAACATATCTGGCCGTGTATAAAGTAGGCCATGTATATATATATATATATATATATATATATATATATATATATATATATATATATATATATATATATATATATATATATATATATATATATATATATATAACATAGTAATTATTATTTTATTTGGAAAATAACAAATTAATTTTTTTAGAAGAAAAACTTCAAAAAGAATACATGAATAAAATGGAAATTATAAAGTAGTGCTTTTGTTATTAAACAAATCATAATGGAAGGTAAGTTTCAGTTGTAAATACATTGAAAACACATGTTAGCACAAATGAAACTCTGTTAACACTCCAAAATAAAAAATTTGTTTCTTGTTATATATCATTAAAAAAAAGCTTTAATTTAATTTTTAAAAGTGAAAAATTAATTAAAGTTGAACAATACCACAAAAAGTTATGGCGTTTTAAGTACCGATTTATTGATATATGGATTTGTTTTAATTTGGTTTAATTAACTAAAATACTTATATCTTGTTATCAATAGATAAGTGTAAGAGTAACCTACAAATTCATATTGGCCTTTAACCACCTGGCATCTCTGAGTAACTAGACGGGGCACTAAACCTTCAATTTTACTGTAATAAAATGAGAATTTTTCCATAAAAGAGCATTTTTTCAAATGAAATTGATAAATTTCATATGCAAGAAAAGTTCTTTTAATGTTTCCAGACAACTGCCAAATATTCATATTTGGTCAATCTTTAAATTAGGGTGGATGTGGAGGTGATGGTTTAACACACTCTAATATTAAAAACAGTTTGTTTTTAAATATTTTTATTTCTATTAAAAAAGTTAAATCTAGTTTAAAAAAATAACAGTTATATTTTATCAGTTTACAACATATCTAGCGATGCACTTAACAACTCAGGTAAAGTTGTTTCTACAGTCTTTAAAGCTTAAGTATAGAAAAAAAGTTGTAACTAAAACAATTATAATAAATTATGTTTACATGGCATTATAATTTTTATATTAAAGTAATGTAAGTTACAGGTGGGTTTATAGAGAGGTTTTCAGAATCAGAATTCATAAGATCAATCTGATCAATCTTATGATCATGTCTTAATGAGATTTTGAATATGATCATGATATATAAAAATGACAGATAATCTTAATAAAGGCCCTTCCCATTAACCTCAAAAAAAAATATATATATATTCTAATTAAAAATTAAATTTAAAGATTGAAAATGCTAAAAGTTAATGATAGATTTTAATATATTCACAACAGACCCCAATATACACATTTTACTACATTACAAGACGGTCTGTCTTTTTTTTCCCCTTATTTTTCAGGTTTCAGGACAGGCAACCCCTTCAACCTAAAAAAATAAATGAACTAAAAATACAAACATGCTAAATTAAACATGCTAAATATTTTAATTCAATTGTCTTGGCTTTTAATTATTGATGAAAAATATTAATTTCAATAATGAAACTAATTAATAATCATTGTTAACAACAGACACAATGCGAATGTAGGACAGAGCTGTCTGTGTTTTTCAAGTTCCACTTTAGTACTTTTTTATTGCAAGTTCTACTACTTGCTGTACCTTTTTGCAAGTTCCAATACTTGCTGTACATTTCAAATATAAAATATACAGCAAGTAATGGAACTTGCAAAAATAAAAATGGATATGATCCAGATTGCCTACTTTGTTGTTGCATCGGTATTTTTATTCAAATTAGGAAATAATTAACTTGCCTGATACAATATCAGCAACTAGCTGGAATTTTTTATGCAATGATCAACAACTTCAGAATCAGTTTCATCTTTAGTTCAGTAAGAAATAGTGTATATGATATCTTTCTGTGTTTTTTTCTACTCTGCCACTATAAAAAATTGTTATTGTTGAATCTGTATCATACCATTCATAGCAGAGATTTCTCCCAACAATTCTTTCACACATAACATCATTTAAATCTTCAATTTGCTTATCAGACAAGTTTTATAATAAATTCAGAGTTTCACTGATAGTTTGTTTAAATTACTGTAATAATAAGTCTATATTTGTTTTCTCTCACTTTCTTCAGGAATATCTTTACTCAATATATATACATTTGCAAATACCCCCAAGGGTATAATTAACATTATAAATGTTGTATACAATATAATATATGATGCACCTACAATGTTTCTTCTGATGTAACACAATAATAGTTTATATATGCAATTATTTACACTAATTACAATACCCCTTGATCACTAGATCACAAAGTTAGCATACTTATTCATAAACTTCCGCATTTGCATTGATCTTCTGAGATTCAAGTTGTCCGCAATGGGTACTTCTGATTCTTTAGTAGACAAGTCAGCTACAATGGGAGCAGGACAGATGTCCAACATATGTCTCTGCAATCCACTGAAACTCCTCATCCTGCATCTGAAACTCTTTCTCTGTTTCATTCGCTCGTACATTTTGAATTAAGTGGTTTTACAAATACTTCTTGTCCTTGTGTATAGTTGTGGAGAACTTCTTTGTTATTTTTGGTAGAAATTGTGTGTGGTTTCCACTCATCGGAAAATAAAGCTTTGTAGGGGAGAGTTGTTTCCTCGCCATTTTTTCTGGGAGCCACGTTATACCAATATACCATCTTTAACGGATCTTTGCCATTTCTGACTGTCATATGCTTGATTGTGTGATAATGACATTCAACAATTCTATTTCCAGATGCGCCTGTAAGCGCAACAAAACAGGATGGACATTCCCCATTCTGCGCATAATTCACCAACAAGTTTTGAGCAAAAAGTCTTGCTGTTGTCAAGTAGAACTTGCCACGGAGGTCCTCTGTCTCAGAATATTTCTTCTGAATGGAAGCACACTGTTGTTTCTTTCTTTTTCAGTAACTTTCTCCAAATTGCAAACGTGCTCTTTTTGCCACAGTCAATAATAAACAAATAAATCTCTGATTTATAGTGGGTTACGTTAATAGCTAAACAGTGCCAGCTTATTCCAACTTTAAGATTTTTTTCTTCCCATCTAAATGGCACAGGATCCACCAATAAACATCTTTTGCAACTTTTTATGACTGATTCAATATCTTTTCTACAAACTTTCTCCTTCGGATATGTCTGTTTCATCAGATTGACTCTAAAGTGATAAAGAATATCAAATGATTTCACATCAGGCATCAGGTATGACATTTGTTGTCATTGCAGAATGGTTTAAATGCAACCAGTTTTGTGGTACCCTCATAAGAGCATTGGCTTTATTTTCTGCTGACTACAAGAAAAAGTTATATTTTTATACTGCACTCTTTGACAAGGTCTTGAAATAATGACAACTGGTGATGGACAAGTGGTTCTCCAAGACCGTGTACTCAAACAGATTTGTCACCAATAATTACAGAGTTCAACCAGCAGACAATCACACTTTATGGTAATACATTCAAATCCCCATTTTGTTGCCAGTATAATTTATTTTATCACGGCTTCTAACTCTGCGAGATTAATGAGAGCAGTATCTTCTTGTTTCCTTAGCCATGAACAGTCTTCTAGTATTTTCCCAGCCACTTCCAGAGCTATGTCAACAGCTAAACAGCTTGCATTGCACCACACTGTTGCTTCAGAAGTGTTTTGTTGTTCCATGACCCATACACGAGATCTTCTTTTTCAAGTCTTTTATTTAAATTGCTTACTAATTTGACCTCGCGTTCATTCACCAAAGAGTCCCATCTACAACTACTCGAAACCCTTTTTAGATAGGGCGCAACCAATTTGCTATTGGAAAATGTCCGGTCAGCTGTCCGCACCAAGAAAAGATTTGCCGATGTGTCATTTTTCCTTCAGGAACTTTGGTTATGTTGTCACATTTTAATTATCTCAATATTTTCTCTCAATTTTTTCCAGTTGCGAAGTTTAGTATTGCGAATATCAACATCTGCAGTATGACTGGGTACAAATTGATTCAGCTCATGGTAGTCCATCACCAGACATTTTTTTAATTTGTTTAGTTGAATTACTGCCATCAATGGAATGATGCCATTACATCTTCTTTCAAACTGCCATTTTTGTATTCTGCTACAAAGTCTTTACAATCAGCTTTTGAATAGTAGGCAAGGATACTTCATTTGTTTTTTCTTGAGAGACTGCAGTGGCGCCAATAGTTAGTTGTTCCTTATTGAAGTTTATGGTATTGCTGTCTCTCCCGACTTGGACACCTCCAAGCAATTGTATTGCATCCATACCAAGTAGCATTTGATATTTATAAACAATGTTGGCAACCAGGCATTCCAAACCGACAGTGGTATCATTTATAGAAAGATCAACAACAATCTGGTGTTTTACTTCAATTGACTTCCCATTCATCATTACAACCTTTTTACTTGCGTGTTTGACATTTTTTATGTTTACAATATCACAACTTAAAATTGATTTGGAGCATCCAGTATCCAACAATGCTTTAATTTTTCTTCCTTTGACACCTCGCAGAGAGTTGGCAGTTTTAAATTTTGTTGCTTGAATTAAAACGGGTGGCTTCCCTTCCATGTTTTTTGAAATTGTACACTTTTTATAGCAGTACTGGGCCAGGTGATTGCCATTCCAAACACAAATCACCTCTTCTTCTCAATTTCTTTGTTGCAGTTTTGACTGATATGTCCATCTTCGCTGTAACAGTAGCAAGTTATGGTCTTTTTTCTGCGTCCTTCCGGAACCTGTCTTGAACTAATGACAACAGGATTCACTCAACTAACAAAACACGATTCTTTGTGACATAAGATTACCAAACTTCTTGATTTTTCAGCAATCTTAAACGGAGACATTGTTGATATTGAACATGCAGTTTGCAGCTGTTTTCTTGCTTTGTCAGGTAATCTGTGAATAAATGCGCACCTTGTTCTCTTTAAAATGACAATATACAAATTTTTCATATGTTGAAGCAGAGAAGACAGTAGTCAGTGCATTTTTCACTTCATTGTAGTCTTCTTTTATCTCATCACTATGTCCTTGATAAATGGCAAACGCTCTGCCAGAAAGAAATAAGGGGAGCACCACATGCAGCTTGTAATCTTTTTGAAGTTTTGTTACCAGTTCCAATTTCTGTATCCATTCTGAAAATTCACTTGAACAATGCTTTATTAAACCTTGTCTAGAAGAGAAAGAGCATCATTAGAAAAACCAGCTCGAATATGAGAACAGTATTCCATACAGGAACAAATAAGAGATTTGTAGAGTTAGAGAATGGAATCAGGAGAGAGAAAATGGTGAATTTGATAAAGAGAATCAACCTT